TGATAAGTGCAGTCAATGGAAACTATATGGTTTATAAAGCATATGTTGTGGTACTGTGGAGTCCATGGACTATGCAGATATTGGTTATGGACTTTTGCACTTTTTAGTTATTTAACAAATTTTTTGTTGTGATTATGGTTGCGCTTCAGCACACTCCTGATCTGTGGGCACCTGGTGTGGAAGGGTGTGGCAGATCAGAGGACCTCCTCATGGGTGTGACCCTGGGCCTAGCCAGGTTGGCTATAAATGTGTTCAGGCAGCTGGTTGTGCACAGGGTCATCTCTGCTGACTGCCTTCCCCCTTCCACAGTTACATTTGAGCTTGGATGTCATTGGACAGGAAACACGTGGTATTCATTAATGTTCTTGATGCCTTTGGAGAGAGGTGGATAGGGTGGGGGATGCAGTGGTTTATTTCCCCTTTGTCCCCAACTTCATTTGGATTTCGTTCCCTTCCAACTCCATTTTGATTTAGTTCCTTCCTGCTCTTCCTACCACGCCCCTTCCCCCAACATAAGGCATCTGTTTGATGGCTTTTGTGGTGCAGTGGTCGTCTCTCTATCTCTGAGCCAAGAGACCGGGATTGAAGTCCCACCTGCTTGAGAAGTTGTAATAACATGTCTGAAGAGGTTGTTTATAAAAATAGGTTAAATTAAAAAAAATAAATAACATTGGAAGGCTCTTGTGGCACAGTGGTAGTATACCTATCCCTGGACAGTGAGGCTTGGGTTCAAGTCCCATCTGCTCCACAGGTATGTAATAACATCTGTGAACAGGTTGATTAGGAAAAATAAGTTGAAAGAAAGGCATCTGTTAGAGGGCTTTTGAGGTGTGGTGATAGTGTCCCTCCTCTGAGCCAAGAGTCCAAGGTTGAAGGCCCACCTGCTCCACAGGTGTGGAATAATAATTCTGAAAAAGTTGTTTCAAAAATATAAGGGGGAAACTAACAGAGCTGAGGTTCAAGACATGGGATGGAGGTTGAAAGAGAGAACAAGGATGAAGAAAGAAGAGTTTGAAGGTAAAGGCCCTAGTCCAAGGTTGAATAGTGTGCACGAGCAAGGCTTAAAGACAGCATGAGCAGGGTTTAAACGGAGGAGTTGAAGATTGAGACAGTTGCAAACAGAAGTCAGACATAGGGCATGGGGAAGTTAAAGAAGCAGAAAGAGCACAGAGGTTAGAGAGAAAGAGTAGAGTGAAGAGAAGGGGAAAGGAGTTTGAAGAGAGAGGTCAGAGTTTGTACAGAGAGAGTTGAGGCTGATGAGAAAAGAGCTGAAGTTGACAAGGGAAAGAAAGCTGAGGGTGACAAGAGAAAAGAGTGCAGGTTGACTTGAAAAGAAAAAGAGGTTGAAGAAAGGATAAACCAAGGTTGAATAGTGAGCACAAAAGATTGAAGGCAAAGACAGCACTCAGGCTATTGTGAAAACAGCATGTTTATTTTGCTGTATTTTTGATTGTGCATTGAAATAAGAAAAGGCCTGTTTTAACACCAAAGACTGGAGAAGGATTGCTCCACTTTTTAAAAACAAGTAACCGTTGTTTTTGTTCACCTATGGGACAGGGGTGTCACTGGCTGGCCAGCATTTATTGCCTGTCCCTAGTTGCACTCGAGAAGGCAGTGGTGAACTGCCTTCTTGAACATCTGCAGTCAATCTGCTGTGGGTACAGCCACAGTATCTTTAAGGAGGGATTTCCAGATTTTGACCCAGCAACAGTGAGGGAACAATGAGATAATTCCAAGTCAGGATGGTGAGTGCCTTGGAGGAGAACGTGCAGGTGACGGTGTTCCCATTTATCTGCTGTCCTTGTTCTTCTAGGATGTGGTTGCGGACTTGGAAGGTGGTGTCTAAGGATCTTTGGTGAATTTCTGCAGTACATATTCCTGCCACTGGACATCAGCGATGGATGGCGTGGATGCCTTTGGATGTAATGCCAATCAAGCAGGCTGCTTTGTCCTGGATGGTGTTAGCCAGCAGGCTGCAGAGAGAGAGGGGTACCAGCCGCCGACATGCTGCTGGGAACACTCAATGTAAAACTGCTGACACACATAGGAAAAACAATTTGTGAACTGAGAATGACCTGAGTCCAGGTGCTGGCCTGAGCTAATTGGAACCAGTTGGTATCAACCAGTTCTGCAAGAAGAAAGAAAGATGAGGTAACGCAAAAGCCTTATTTGGGCAAGGAGCAATGAGGTAATGCTATCTAAGTCTCTGATCCAGGGCGAATAAGGTAAAGGCATGCGATAAGCGGACGAGCCTAAGCCAATGGGAAGGAGACAGCATGACTCGACAGAGATAAGAGAATGAACAAAAAGACGACCCTTGGGGCACTGAGTCAGCAAAAACTCCGGAGACCAACCATCTCAGAAGCAGACACTACATTAAGGATGTGTCGACGACACAGAGTACAGCACTGGGCCAGCTTCAGCCCACGTTAGCAGTAGCAATCATCCTGATTGGGTATTAGCTTTTATATTCTGTGACTACATGGGGAGTGTCAGAGGATCCTACTGGGTTTATAAACAGGTTCTTGTTCAGTTGTGGGAAAATACATAAGCTCTAGCTTGTAATAAAACGTATAAGTAACACATGTCTTGTTTAACACATTAATAAAGTAATTTGTGAAGTTTTGTGAAGCTTCTCCTCTCTGTACACCCCTGCAAACAGCAACTGGCAATTGATGGATTCAAACAGCCTCCAACAATGGTGTCAAGGTTTTTGAATATTGTTGGAACTGCACTCATCCAGGGAGGTGGGGAGTATTCCACAGCCTTATATTGAAAACGCAGAATAATTGTTCTTCAAATAGTTCTACTATCCAGCTATTGAGAAAATATATCGTGCGTATACATGAAATTGGCAGAACATACGGGAACATGGAAAATGACTGATAAACAGGCATGTTACAAGATTAAAATTTCATAAAGATAAGATATATGCTAGATGGAAGGAAAACTGAACACCTAAGCAGACCAGCACCTTTGATGTCCATAAGGTTTTGAAGAACCATTAAGTCAGGTTAGAGAAGAACAAAAAAAAGGATGTAAATCTTATGTTTTGTTGTTTATCACATACTATGCGGTATAACATTTTTGAAATGACATCTTTTAAAAGGATGGAATCACGTTTTAAAACCTAGAACTGTGGAAGGTATTGTTGCACTTTGAAAATACATTACTGGAACTTATTGTGATTTATGTTTACACTTTCCAAATAGTGGTTGGGATGAGATAAGACAAGACAACACGGCACAACGGTGCATGTGCAGAGACAGATTTGATCAACAAGGGCACTTATCCGTTGTGCTATTGTGACTTGTTATCAATGACAGAGGTCATTAGCATGATGACAACTCTGATTGGTTTCTGGGCAGTTGAACAGTTTGTGTGTGACAGTGAGAGAGACAGCGAGAGAACAATACAGAGGCAGGTCAATAAACTGGAAGAAGCAGGCTGTCTCTCTGCAGGAAATGCAACTGAAGCCTAAAGAAAATGATTTTTTCCCACCAGTTGCTGTTAAGCTGTTGCTTTTAATGAGAAACTCAGACTTTATAATTAATGTGCCAACTAACAAGCATGGAGGCCAAGCGGGAGACAATAAAGATCAAAGAAAGGGACAGCAAAAGTTGAAGATGATTTGGGATTCAGCATGAGTGTGTGGTGAGAGTGCAGAGAATGAAGAACGTGTAGAGAGGGAGGGGAGGACAGAGGGAGGAGAGGAGAGAGGGAGGGAGGTGAGGTGGCGAGAGAGGGGGAAGGAAGGGAGGGGAGGTGGCGAGAGAGAGGGAAGGAAGGGAGGGGAGGTGGCGAGAGAGGGGGAAGGAAGGAGGGGAGGGGGCGAGAGAGGGAAGGTGGCAAGGGAGGGATGGGCAGTAAATGCCGACCTAGCCAGTGACATCTTCATCTCATGAATGAATTAATAAGTCCAAGCCAGAAAAAGTAACCTGACCAATATGAAGCTTGACCCATGAATGAGATTAAAAAAGGCACATTCTGTACTCATCGGAGGTATCTGGGTAAGCATCAAATGAGCTATGATTCGAATTCCCCATTTCATGTAACTTGCACTTTGCAGTAAAATGAACTGGATCTACTGAGAAACCCAATTGAAGTGATAATCTAATTTGGTTTTCACTGTGGGTGAATAATTTTGGGCTATAAGACTTAATTGAGAAATTATTCACCAGTGAAAACCACAATTAGATTGTCATTTCTCCACATCATGCATTACAACTGTATTGAACGTAAATTTTGAAACAGCATCATTGCTATCTTTTGATAGAGAACACTATTGTGGAAAATTTAGAAACTTAACTTATTCCAACTGAGGAAAAAGTATTTTAAAAGATAGAATGAATGAACCAAAGGGTATTTTAAATTGAATGTATTAAATTAACACACAGAATATGTATGTTTTGTTAGGTGTGTATTGAAAGTAAATTCACCACGATACTTAAAGCAATCTACATTTGTTTTGAAGTTCAATAATGTCATTGGGTTGAAATAAAAGATCTAATGTCTTTTTTAGTATAAAGATAATCTTTTTATTTTAATAACATTAAATTTGTAACCAAATAGTCCAAAGAATTCTCTGAAGATCACAAGTTTAGTATATTTTAAATTAAAAACAGTTCATTAAACTATGAGATGAAACCATTTAAACTTATAACTTACTGCTTTTCAAACTGTAAGAACATGGTTAATGTTGATACAAAATGTTTAGTCAATGGTCCCAATTTTAGCCTCTGAACTAGGATGAGTTTATCAATCTTAGTCTCAATCAGGCAGGAAAGGCAGCACAAAGGTCTTTACTTTATTCCTCTAACAAAAGAAATATTGGGAAAGGTTACATTTACTGATCACTTCAACTGACCTTCGCTGGATGCTTCTGAACATCAATGACAGTTTACAAAAATGAAAGAACCACGAATGCTGGAAATCAGAAACAAAAACAGAAATTGCTGATAAAACTCAGCAGGTCTGGCAGCATCTATGGAGAGAAATCCGAGTTAACCCTTTTGAAGAAGGGTCACTGGACCGAAAACGTTAATTCTGATTTCTTTCCACAGATGCTGCCACACCCACTGAGTTTTTCCAGCAATTTCTTGTATGGGTGACACTTTGGAGGATCAGTCTGTCAATACACACTACCTGAAATTATTTGGGAAACTGGAAAAATGAGAATAATACAGGAGAACATAGTAACCTGTGGAACAGTGACCCAGTGTGAACCAACAGATCCCAATTAATGCTGTGCTAATGAGTTACCTTGAATGAGGTCAAATCGGGCATAATAACTTTAGGACAGAAATGTGGAACAAGTGACAAAACACAGGAATACCGTATTTAAAAAAGGCATGAAATGCAAAATAGTCAAAGAAGCATTTAAACATCGAACTGAAGTTTAAAATAAACACAATCAGATCTGCTGAGAGCCATGACATCCAGCATAGAGATCATATTCAAAAGAATTTAAGAAAACATTTAAATATAGCGGATTTAGGAAAACAATCTAGGGATTTCTACATTTAACTTTATACTTTTTGTGACACAAAAACTCACCAGATTCAATTGATGTGGCCAGGTGTAGTTGTAGTAACCTAATGTTGAACTTCAGCAAATTTGTGGCAAATAATGATCAATGAAATAAATTACATTGTGTAATTCCGTGCAAATTTAAATATTCAATGTAACTTTATGGCCTAAGAAGAGGGCTTCCCAATGAACTCAGAAGTTTAGCGAAGGTAAAGAGCATGGATTTGTACAAATTGTAACAGTTGTTAAGCGTAAATGGTTAAACAAAATATATCTCTAAAAATATCTAAATGTTCCATTGATGCCTGTTCTCAATTTTATTAGAGGTTGAAAATTTTAATATACCTATCCGATGTATTTTATTCCTCTATTTGTAAAATTTATACCTTGTTGACCAGGCATCTTCAAAATATGTGCATTAATTTAAACTTTGCTCCTCTTCCAAAATATCCATCATTAATATGTTAATGACTGGCAGCAACATTCACCATTGGGCGATTAATTAATTTTTATCTGATGCTAGATATTTCTAATAAGTTGGGGCAAAAAGGAAAAAGTTTACTGAAGTTATTGTGCAAAATAAGGACTGACAATAAGTTCCTACCATTATGGAAGGTGCCCAGTTGGTACAGAAATTAATTAGGCAGCAAGAGATAGATGATATATTTATATAAAGCAGGCTGGGAGGTTGATGTAGGGTCTCCATGGTTGAGGCTTTAAGAGTTAAAATTAAACATACTAAATGTAAGCTTAGTTTAGAACTGCTCAGACATAGAGCAGACATGAGCAATTTAACTGCACACAAAGACATAACCATGATAATGTATGTAAAAGTAGAAGACTCAATAAGGTTATAGGGAGATAACTGCTGTAAATGGGAACCTGGTGGCATTTTTAACAGACCTGGTCACTGGACATGGGCACAGGAGAAGCTTGATTAATCTTAATCAAGACATTTATCTTATGTGGGGACTGGTCCAGCCTTCTAATGAGACACTGATGCTGTAATTGTCTCATACTGTTTATAGTCATGTGACAAATAGTATAGTACAAAATGCATCAGTGAACAGTCTCATATAATCTTATTCCTTTACACATATTGTAGAAGATAGCCTGTCTGTTTGGAACACTTACTTATCTTGTACAGTAAAACTTGAAACACTACCTTTTCCAGTTTTAAATGCAAAAGCTTCTAAAAACATGTGCTTCACTCAAAAAACAGATATTTATAAACCCAAAAGAAATGTATGTGCACAAAATAATTTTGTGAAACTTCAGTATAAATTTAATGCAAGGCACTTTTGCTGAATCGTTTCAAGTAGTTGAGGTCTTAGAATGTTTTCCAGCATTTTCACTGCTAAAAAATCAACCATCTAATTTGTATTAGAAACTGCATCCTTAACATCTGAGGTGGGGAAGAGGAATTGCTATTTCAACCTATGATATTGAAAATATCTAATGTAAACAAAACTAAATGACTGGGCAATGTAAGTCTCAGAATATTACTTCAGAATGACTGCAACAGCATTACACCACAATGTTAGCATTTCAGTAAATAGAAAGTTATGTCAAGTAGATCAGAAAAACCATCAGTATTTCTGTTTTGTGACAAAAGAGATTAATTAATCAGATAAATCTTAAATTCTGTTTGCCTTCCATGAGAGGTAGGTATTCCATATCAGAGCAACAACTTGAATTAATAGCACCCTGTGTTAAATGAAAATAAAGACAAATAATTTTAGTAATCTATTTCCCCATTCCTTCAGAAGCTTTACCATGCAGTAACTTGTCAAAACACTCCAATGAAATATAGAACTGCATGAAATTGTGGTACTTACCTGCTAAATACCCACCAAAAATGTCAAGGTTGCCGCAAACTACAGTAAGCAATTCTTTAACAATGTGATATGTCCTAATAGCTACCAAACAACCTTTATGGAATGAAAATTAACCTGAGAAGTGTGCAGACTCATTGTTTCTTATTTATGATATGGAACAATTTTTGAAGATATTTTCTTTCTTTCAATCACATCTTTCTATTTCACGTTCTTTACATGATTTGGCAAAACACTCAATTTTCTAACTTACATTTATGTCAACATTCCCCAAGTTCTGCATATCTCAGTAGGATTGTTCAATAGTTCGGCCAAGATGATGCACAGTTACCTTCCCTGTTCACATGGGTCCCAGTTACTCTGTAAAGGATTGTTTAGGATTTCTAATTACAGCAAATTGCGGTGCAAAAATCCATGTAAAATCTGTGGGCAAGTGTCAAATGTAATAAACTGCCAGCACTGCCATGTGTGCCAGGGCAATTTACAATGCAAAAGCAATTATTTTCTTCTATGGCAGTAAAACTTCATTTAGAATAGCATATATTAAATATTTTTGGTTTAACAGATGGGCCTAGTGACGGTATTTAGAGCATCAAGATGCATCAGTGTAAGAGTAATGTTCAATCTTCTTTTCCAATGGGTTTTTTCAAAATTTAATTGGTGTTGTATACAGAATAAAAAAGAGCAGATGCCATCTCCTACACACGCTATTCCCAGGTTGAACTTATGCATCTCCAAGAGGCTGGACCATAGTGGAGTAATGGAAGGTCATTATGTACCCACAAACCTAGCATAAGATCTAGGGTTGAACAAAGAGAAAGAAAGTTTAAAAGCACCTTCTAGTAAGTGACTCCATTTGAACAATAACATAATAAAATGTATTAATCTTGTCAAACATGATGATTTTATTAAGCTAAAGTTGCTCCAAACACAACTTTCCTTCTGTTTCTGAATATTTTGGAACGTATTAGAATTACTTTCCCATTGTAGTTTTTCAGACTTTATGAATACCTCCTTCCATTTAGTCTAGAATAACATAAGAACATAAGAAGATAAGAACTAGGAGCAGGAGTAGGCCATCTGGCCCCTTGAGCCTGCCCCGCCATTTAATAAGATCATGTCTGATCTTTTTGAGACTCAGCTCCACTTACCCGCCCACTCACCATAACCCTTAATTTCTTTACTGTTCAAAAATTTATCTAGCCTTGCCTTAAAAACATTCAGCGAGGTAGCTTCAACTGCTTCACTGGGCAGGGAATTCCACAGATTCACAACCCTTTGGGTGAAGAAGTTCCTCCTGATCTCAGTCCTACATCTGCTTCCCTTTATTTTGAGGCCATGCCCTCTAGTCCTAGTTTCACCTGCTAGCGGAAACAACCTCCCTGCCTCCACCTTATCTATTCCCTTCATAATCTTATATGTTTCTATAAGATCTCCCCTCATACTTCTGAATTCCAATGAGTATAATCCCAGTCTACTCAGTCTCTCCTCATAATCCTACTCTCTCAACTCTGGAATCAACCGAGCGAATCTCCTCTGCACCCCCTCCAGTACTAGTATATCTCTTCTCAAGTAAGGAGACCAAAACTGCACACAGTACCCCAGGTGTGGCCTCACCAGGACCCTATACAGCTGCAGCATTGCCTCCCTGTTTTTAAACTCCATCCCTCTAGCAATGGTAGACAAAATTCCATTTGCCTTTTTAATTACCTGCTGCACCTGAAATCCTACTTTTAGCGATTCATGCACAAGGACACCCAAGTCTCTCTGCACAGCAGCGTGCTGCAATTTTTCACCATTTAAAACTTAGTCCATTTTGCTGTTATTTCTACCAAAATGGATGACCTCACACTTATCAACATTGTACTCCAATAACAATTAGAAGCTCCAAACTGTATACTGTTCCTATCATCTAAAGGGCATAGTAATCAAGGTGTCAGATTAACTTTATTACATAAATAATAATTAAGGCCTCATTTCACATAATCAGTTCTACCAGTCTTGGACACCACACCACTAAACAGAAAGACCGCCTTTGAATGCAAAATAGTTACAAAGGATTTGAACACTTTCTGTGGAAGTGAATGGTCAAGTACATTATAAGTATTAATTTTTCAAGTTTATAAAACAAACATTTGATCTTCAGCATTACAGAACATAATTTCAACATTTGAAATTAACAGTTAAAAATCTGTTAGGCAGAACCAATGGTCCATTTACTGTAGTGATGTTTAACATATTTAAAAATCAAGTGAACTGCAGAACAGAGGAGAAAGAATAACAATTGCCATTTGATTTTTTACAGTAAACAACACTGTAATACTATCATAACATGGACTTTGACTCTCCAACACCGGAGAAAGGCATGGCCATTAAAAATGGCAGATGTGTTTCATCTGTGCATTTGCAGTTGTACCCATGATGTGAAACCATTAAATCGGAAAGAAAAAGAATTGTTTTTAAAGAGATTGCAGACATCATATTGTCAAAGAACCTTGTAAATATCTCTGGCAATGTGTGTTTTAGTGCAACTGCAATCCACAAGTGGTTCTGGGTTGACAACACACCATCTGTGCTTCAGTGATGCACCACAGATTCTGGTGTGTTGTGTGTGTGTTTTGGGGGTGGTGGTGGTGGTGGTGTGAGATTTGTAACAAACATCCGCGCTCAATTCTTCTATGATCACAACTGAAAGTTGGACAGACTGCAGTGATCAACACTGGTGGACATAAACTCAGTGAAAATAATTCTGTTAAAATAACCAATGATTTTCTAATATATAATGTAATTCAACTCTCTGAAGTTCTCTACCTAACAGGGCTGTGACTCAACGAATTTATTCGAGAGTGAGCATAATAGATTTTTCAGCATTGAGGGGGCCAGGAATACAGCAGGAAATGAAGTTGATGCAGAAATTCTTAATGAATAGGAGGTTCAAATGGGCTATATATGGACTTTACCCCTGCTCCTAAAGGCTGGATTTCAGAAACATAGTGGGGTCAGCATTGCAGGTAGGTGAGCCCACAAATTCAGACTGCCAGGTGGAGTGCAATTCAGTGCCACAATCCCCATCCCAAGGCATTTCTAGAGAGATTGGGCCAGAGTCAGAATATCTGCCCATGAGCAAATGGCAAAGAGTCAATTGAGGGCCATTGGGATCAAATTTGGAGCCCATTAAGACACTGTACCTAGATCACAGAATCCCTACAGTGTGAAAACAGGCCCTTCGGCCCAACAAGTCCACACCGACCCTCAGAGCATCCCACCCAGACCCAGTGTCAACTGGAATTTCTGGTCAGCAATGTGGGGCAAGATCCAACATCCTACCTTCACCAGTCTTAGCTGTTAGGTCACAATTGTGGTTACTGACCATCTCCTGTAAGTTTTTTTTTTCTCTTCAAGATCAAGGCTTTATTAATTCTACTTATTTCTCGTATGTTCATGACATAGGTTTTGACATGACTAGTTGCAACTTGTGCATGTTACATTTGAACCATGGTCTAATTAGGAAACTCTTTGCTTATTTCCTTCCTTTCTTTACTTAAGGAAATATGTTATTTTTGTTATTTGGGGGATAGAAAGGGAGTAGCAAAGGACAGATAGTAGGACAGCTGAGAACCTTGACATTTAGGTTGATTCCAATTTAATGTGCTACTGTAGGATTTTCTAACCCATAGCAGCACACCAAAAATTCTGTCTGGTAATCAGCCAGCTCCAGCAGCAGGCATCGTTTCTACCAGGAGCTCAATCACTGCAGCAAATTAACATCACCTCGTTAGTTTGGCAAAACCTGTTTTTTTTCTGGATGATTAAATTAAGAAATAAGAAATAATTTTTTTTACCTGTATACTAGCGGTACAAAGTAGAAATTTAGCATTTGTACTGTTGGCCAGATCTTCAAAAGAAAAAAAAGTTAGTTTTACAACTTTTACTCTAAAGGTTATAAAGATTTTTAACTTGCACAACTGAAAACTAAATCACACAAACACCTTCTGCTGTGGAAATGATCAATACCAAAAATTATCATGCAATGTTACATTAAATTTACCGCACAGCAACAGGTAATTCAGCTCAACTGGTCTGTCTTAAGATAAACTGGCAACACAAGCATCTTTACTTCAGCTAATAACATGCACTTCCATTTTTTTCCCTCATGTACTTATCTAGATTTCCCCTCATTGCATCAATACTACTTGCCTCATGTACTCCGATAATCAAGTTCCAAATTCTTGTCTTTCTGAGTAGAGAATTCTCAATCAATTTATTGGTGATCATCTTATGTTTATGGCCCCAATCTCACTCAGAAGTGGCAACATCTTACTATTTCACATTTCTCAGTAAGTATAACCTCTTAGTTCGAAAGGTTATACTTGTAAACCTTGTAAATATTTTTGCACCTTCTTCAGTGCCTTCATAGCAGTTTTACAATATGGACAGCAGAACTATGGGCAGCATATGATGTGTGGTTTAATTATGATCTGATACAATTTTAACATGACTTTTCTGTATCTAAATTCCATTTCTCTGGAAATGAATCCCATGCATGATTAGACAGTTATACAAAGTATTGCCTCTCCCAACTAATAATAATTTCACAGTAAAGACTTTTCAATGATTATATTAGGAGTATTATAAACTTTAATTTCAATTTATTGGAAATATTAGCAATAGTACTGGGCATGGGTGTATCACAAAAATATCTTTAATTGATTACTAAATAAAAATTTAACTTAAAAATTGTAAAGTTTATGTGGAAAACGGGTATATATCAAACTGATAATGGACTGGTACTGTAGTGATGATGCAACTGGGGTACATTGGGCAGATTAATTTGGTTCAGCACCCATTGTCACGGACCTACTCTGTGGGAATTGGATTGCTAGATAAATAAAACAAAAATGAAAGAAATAAATTCAAGGCTAAATTACAGGTGGAGGAGTGTCTGATTACACTGCATTGAGAGCTAATAGCCACCAATGCAAAGACACTGAGTTTGCTGCAAAAAGGCATTTTGTTGCAGTTTTTCAGCTTGTGCTCATCAGGACATTTCACAAAAATACAAATTGAAGGGGATAACCAACATTTATATTGCATTAGAAGAGTATGCTTATTGATTGGCAAGTGGACTCCGATTGGTACAGGCACACAGGGCCCAGTTCTTTGCAGACAAAAAGCAGACACACAATGCATGAATCAGAGCAGTAAAATAGATGATGTTGATTCTCTGGTTCATTCCTGTGTGATGCCTTATGAATCAGAATCAACCTGCCCGGTTTAAAATTTAAACAAAGCTTGACGGTTATCTGTCAGTTGCATTAACAGGTGCATGCTCCACAGTGACGCCTTTACCAATTAGATACCAAAATATAGATGTTTTTACTTTTACTTGTGTATTTCTTGCAAATTGTCCTGATCAGGGCAAGATGAAAATGTTATGAAGTTGTGTAGAGGGCGTGGTTCCTTTATAAGAGAGTGTGTTTCAAAGCTTAAGAGATTTATACAATAAAAGAAAGTATCTGCACGTAGCTGAAGATGTACACCCAGTTCTAAGAGTTGGCTGTGTTATTGGAAACCTTAGGCTTGTTTTGATGATTTGGCAACTAGCTGGAATCAGCCAATTAATTTAAACCAAGCACTTAGCGATTGAAAGCTAAAATGAATTTAAATCTGATGGTTTTGATTACCTCGGACCAATGCTATTGTAAGAAAATTGATGCGTCATCCAAGGTATATGAGGAAACGGTTTTTGAAAATCGGTATGAGAGCGAACCGCCATTTGAGAAATAAGCACCTAGCTCTCTCAAGAAATGACTAAGCTCACTAAGAAAGCACCCTCTTAAACATAAAGGGTAACACGGTACTTCTAACGAAGAGTCTTCACAGAGAAAACATCCTGACAGCAGGATCAGCGAAGGAAAGGTGTTTATGACTGGAGAGACAGTGGAGAAGGCAGACCATTCCAGCAGACACATTCTCTGTGTGGGCTTTGAGAGACTAAGTTTTAATTTTTTTTCTAACTACTTGGGTTATATAAGTGGGATAACAAGGTGTAGAGCTAGATGAACACAGCAGGCCAAGCAGCATCAGAGGAGCATGAAAGCTGACGTTTCGGGCCTAGACCCTTCTTCAGAAATCTCCAGCATCTGTAGTTCCTACTATCTCTTATATAAGTGGGACTTGTGTTTATTGGAATAGAATACCAGTAGACTTTTGTTCAGTTAGGGAATAGTCAGGAGTTAGGGAGGAATTGTTCGGTTTGATTGTAGTTCTGTTAATTTGTTCACTCTTAGGGTTAAATAAATAAAGTGTTACTCGTTACTTATAAAGTGAATATCAGGGATTTTCCTTCATTTAACCTCCCCTTTTCCATTACAGTTTGGGGGCTCAAACCCAGGATCTGGCTGGTTTGTGTACGGGATCTGAATGGAACTGAAACGGTTTAAATTACAGTTAAAAGCAGAGAATAAAGAAAAGTAAAGAATTGCTCTGGCCAAACAAAAAGAAAAAGAGTGAGAAGACAAGGAGAAAGAGAGCGAGTTTGAACATAGGAAGTTGCAAATTAAAAAGGATAGCTGACATAAGAAGATAGATTTCGCGAGGAGGAGCATGATGATAAGCAGACCCATCGTACCAAAGACCTGCTAGGGATATATACAAACATGTCAAAACATTACCCAAATTCAATGAAAAAGATGCAGAAGCCTTTTTCATTTACTTTGAGAAATTGGCTAGGCAGATGAATTGGCCACAGACTGTGTGGGTAATGTTAATTCAGACCAAGCTGGTGGGGCTAGTGAGGTGTTTGCAGCACTGTCAGATGAGGTATCAAGAGAATATGAAGATGTTAAACAGGCTATTTTGAGTGCTTACAAATTGGTACCAGAAGCATAGACAACGATGCAGAGCTGGGCTGAGAAGCGGCAGATGGAGTTTAACCCTGAAATGAGTGAGGTGATTCATTTTGGAAGGACAAATTTGAAAGCAGAATACGGAAAGCAGGGTTAACGGAAAGATTCTTGGCAGTGTGGCGGAGCAGAGGGATCTTGGGGTTCATGTCCACAGTTCCCTGAAAGCTGCCACCCAGGTGGATAGAGTTGTTAAGAAGGCGTATGGTGTGTTAGTTTTCATTAATAGAGGAACTGAGTTCAAGAGCCGTGAAGTTATGCTCCAGCTATACAAAACCCTGGTTCGGCCACATCTGGAGTATTGTGTCCAGTTCTGGTCGCCTCATTACAGGAAAGATGTGGAAGCGTTGGAAAAGGTGCAGAGGAGATTTACCAGGGTGTTGCCTGGAATGGACGGAAGGTCTTACGAGGAAAGGTTGAGAGAGCTCGGGCTTTTCTCTTTAGAACGACGAAGGATGAGATGTGACTTGATAGAGGTGTACAAAATGATCAGAGGTATAGATAGAGTAGACGGCCAGAGACTTTTTCCTAGGGTGGAGGTAGCTATTACAAGGGGGCATAGTTTTAAAGTGAGTGGAGGTAGATATAGGGGAGACGTCAGAGGTAGGTTCTTTACTCAGAGAGTGGTAGGGGCGTGGAATGCAGAGCCGGAGAGGGTAGTGGAGTCGGCCTCATTAGGGGCATTTAAGCCGCTATTAGATAGGCATATGGATGATAGTATAAGGTAGTGGTGGAGGTTAGATAGACCTTAGGTTTAGGGTAAAAGTTCAGCACAACATTGTGGGCCGAAGGGCCTGTACTGTGCTGTACTGTTCTATGGTGAATGCACCCTTTAATGCTATTGACAGTTAACAGCCATGCTTTATTAAATTTTTAAACTAGGCAGAACTAGACTCAGATTGGTCAGGGTCTTGCCCTGAAAAATGAATCAGTGAATGGCTGTTACCTATTCTGTCAATTTGAGTGCATACATGTTCTTTATGCCTGATAAGAACAGGACCCTGTGTGTTAATATTTGTAGCTTCCAAAACATACAAGTGTGTCAGACTGCGAGTCTGACTGATGATCCTAAATTAGTTGTCAGCATAATTCCTCACACATTCAGGATTATCCAGCAAATGTCATCCAATTGCAGAATGACAAAATGTTAGACACAGCATTTGCAAGGTTTGCAAGTTTGAGCCGGTTGTGTATAATCAGCAGCATGTTGCAGCTGGTGGAACATCCTGTTTGATATTATCTGACAGTCTTCAGGATGCACAGCCTACATATGTGGCATCGCATCGACAAATTCACAGCATGTCCCTTCGACTGTTTGAAAGTGGACAAGTGAGTAACTTGAAGGTAGCTGAATGCTTGGGAAGTAATGGCTATCACATAAATGTATGTTAAATATATGTTAAAAAATAAACAAAAGGAAGAATGTAAGGGGCTGATCTGGAAATTAGCTACTTAATTCAAATAAAAAAAAATCATACAATCCCTACAGTGTAGAGGCAGGCCATTCAGCCCACTGAATCCACACCGGCCCTCCGAAGTGCATCCTACTCAGATTCACCCCTGACTTGATCCCTGTAACCCTGCATTTCTCATCACAAATACACCGGGTCTGCACATCCCTGAACACTACGGGCAATTTAGCATGGCCATTCCACCCAAGCTGCACATGTTTGGGCTCTGGGAAGAAACCAGAACAACTGAAAGAAACCCCACGCAGACACGGGGAGAATGTGCAAACTCCACATGGACAGTCACCAAGAGGCTGTTCTAGTGTTTATACCCTTGGCTGCAGAAGGCAAGTTTGCTAAACATGCAGCAATTAAAATCTGGGATACACAAGAGGCTAGAAGTGGAGGGGCACAGATTTAGGCAAGAGTGCCAATTATAGAATTAACAAGGAGTGAGCCTTAGGTAACACAGGAGTGATGGGGAAAGAAGCTCAGCATCTGTTAAGACAGACAGTGAGTCTCTGAGTCAAATACAAGGTTCA